TCTTTGAGGGTATTTATAACAAAATAACGAAATCCTGAAATTAATTTCAGTATTTCACGCTACCTGGTGACGAATCATTCGAGCTTATTAAAGGCGGTAGGAATCGCGCAGTGGATAGTACGAATGTGGCACATTACATAAAGGTTAGTGTATTATATGATAGATTTTTCGTTTGATACTGATCAGTTTCCGCTTAATATTCGCGAAAAGTTTTTTGTTATTGGTTGCAATTATTGCTGTGTGATTGGAACGTTATCTTTAAAATGTGCTCTTTCAGTTAGTGTCACATTGGGAACTGGTTGAGGGCGTTCGACGTGAGATGGAAGCAGTACGACGTGGTTTCGAGTCAATTATCAGTACGGCCGATCTTGTTTCGTTTACACCTGATGAGGTTGGTTTTTTGATTCATTTCATTGCATTTTTTGGTCATTCTATTTCACTCAAGTGATTTCCTCAATTCATTCGACAATTAGGAAACATTTACATTCAGCGAGAATTCAATAAATAAACGGTGTTACTTGAGAAGCTATTGAATCTCTATTTTGTATTTTCNNNTCTATCTAATGAACTGAACTAGCAGAAATAACTTTTTGCTTTGTTTATTTATTCGTTCTTCCAGTTTCTTTATAATTTTATGCTTATCCATTTAAGTTCAATTCATTTCATTTTGGTCTCAATTATGTGAATTTTTTCGTTGATTTTATTGCTGTTGTTCGGTGAGGCTGCTCTTCAGCAAACTAGTACTTATATGTATAATTTTCAGCAACGCAAGTTCCTGCAGTTCGTGACTGGCTCACCGAAACTCCCGGTTGGCGGATTTCGTTCACTGAATCCACCCCTAACAGTTGTAAAGAAGTCAGGTTCGTATGGGAATGGCGATGAGGAGTTGCCGTCCGCAATGACCTGTTACAATTATTTGAAGATACCAGCGTATAGCAGTTATGAGGTGTTCAAGCAACGTTTCGATGTGGCGTTACGTTTCATTTATAGTTTTCATTTGACTTGATCTGATCCTACGTTCATGTGGAAGATGTGTTGATGCTGGTGTTGATGGGAGCATTTTGAAGGGAGAAACGATAACATATGTACATTTATACGTGAATATTGCACAATAGCTCTGCTATTGGAACTCGTCGTCTACTCGTTCGCTTACAATTAGTAAATTTTTGAATTTACGGTTATATCGAACGGAATTCATTTGTCCATTTCGATGAATTATGCCATTTTGAAGTAATTGATCTGATGATCATAGTTATGATTGAGATCATAGACTGTCTTCAGGCAATTTGAGTTATTGAGTACGTTCATCCTTCATTTGACAAGATCTTTTGATTGAGCGAATAATCAAGTTGCATTGATTGGGTGTACATAGTATAAGAGAAATGTCAAATGGACTATGATGGGTTATGTGCATTATAAGGTAATATGTGTATACATATTATGATTATTGTTATAGATTTTTATGAAGATTATCGCTACTTTTTGTCATTGTTATATTATCGTTTTGCTTATATATTCACTGACCCGTCTCATATTATCTCTTCTCCAAATTGTAGTGCACATATCGTGAGCATTATATTTAGACTTGAATTGAGACCGAAATTGTTTCGGTTCAAGTTTGATTTGATTTTGTGTTTTGATTTGCTTCTCTTTAAATCGTTCTACTTGNTTTGCAAAATAGTTGTATTCGATGTGAAATTTTTGTTTGAGTTATTGGAATCCGATAGTTTTCTCGTCATAATCATCATAAACATTGACTTAATCATAAACATGAAAAAAATGTTGATATTAATGAGTGCATTCTGAGGAAACAAACACTATCATATGTACATTAACACCTAAATAATGCACTGTATCGTTGCTACTGGAATTTTTCTCGTATTCATTTCATTAATTTCGTTTTATCGTGTGAATTGGTTCGTTGGAATGATAAAATTGGCCAATACGAAATGAAATTTTTTGGCATATTTCACATTGTTCTTCACTTGCTATACAGCTCAGCTCTTTTATGGAATATTCGTACTTGAACAAGCGATTGATTTTTGGTTAGCAATTGTTTCTTAGATATTACAAGTATATGTTGATGTGTGTTATAATCTGAGAGCTATGGATTAAGGACCGATCATTTCTTTCATAAAGAGTTGCCTAAGAAACAATATTTGTTCGAATATTCTTTTGTAGTACCTTAATTGAGTAGCTTAATACTGATGTGCATTCAGTGACTATTAGACAAGCACAGTTGTTTTGTAGTGATGTTTTGTGCGTTGGTAAGTGCATGAAATTTGGTTTAGTTTTTGTTTTATATCAAACGATGGATTTCATTTGATTTTGATTCAAGAAAGCATTATAAATGATTTGTTTTGATTGTGTTGACTGTCGAATTTTTTAAATCAGTGTTTTACCGTTATTATTATTATTGTTATTATTATTACATTTTGATTGTAATTAAAGACGATATTAGCACTGTGAAATGACTCATTATGTTAATGACGTTAACGATGTTGTTTTTTGATGTTGTTATCACGTGTAATGTTGTTGTTGTTGTATTCATGTGAACATGTTCATACCAGTTCAGTTATTTGTGATTTTTGTATTATTTTCTTTAAATCTCCACATCCCGCTGGTTGCGTCAACTTATTAGGTTTTGTCTTCACGTTGTACGGTTTAGTTGAGCAGTAGCAGGTCCTTCGTTGATTTCTTCATCGTTGATTTGGTTTCCGCTTCTTCGAGACGACGGCGAGTCAAGTGGTTCTCGATGTTCAGTTCCGTAGTGAAATTTTCAAATGGGCACTTACTCATACACGATGTACACCTATTTTAAGTCATATGCGTTCAGTTTTGGGATGTGAATCTCTTTTATTCCTTGACGATAAGGTTTAGTGGTTGTTCAGTTTATATCCGAGAATTGGAAGCGAATGCAGCATCATTGATGATTAACAATATGAGAGTTAACTAATCGAACAAGTGCCGTGTAGATAAGACATTCCAAAGGAACTGTTTACTAGTATCGCGTTTGAATTGTGCCTAATTTTTCTAGTTTTACATCGGTTTCCAATGTCCCTTAGGAAATTCATACCCTTTATATTAGTGATGATGGAGGCCTACAGAAATAGCGAACGGTGAACTCAGAGTTTTCATTTGCCTTTCCCGTATCATTTTTTAATGCGTCCTGAATTTTCTTCCGTAATATTTTGTCCAAATTATTGAAGAGATTCATTCATCGTGAGTTGACTGACTAGTAAGTTTTAATAGCTCGATTGATCGACTGTTTTGAATTGGTCGTCAGTCGCTTGGTTCATTCAGTTAAGCTGAATGAGCTCTGCGAATTGTTTAGTTTAATCGAATGTCAACAGTCATCACCACCTTCCCGAGTACTCTTGACCGTTCTCTTAGAAACTTCCCCGGATTTCCACTTGATATTGGTAGACTTTGTTTATTACAATCAATCACTTTCTCATCATTTCAACTGTTTTTGCAAATGTTATCTTCACAGTTTCTCTATTGTGCTACAATACAATTCTATTCTATGTAACTGATTCACATTTCATTATATTTTGGAAAATTTCCTTTCCAAAATGTTTTTTCTCATTATTTCTTCGTAAATTTCTTTAATTATCGTGCATTGATCGGTTCCTTGAACATTCACTACTGCTCGACTTGGTGAATCAACCACTCATAATATTCCAATTGATTTTGCAAATTCGTGTAATTCGGTTGTACACATGAAAAATTTCGAGAGATTTCTTCGTGTATATTATTTGTTTTTGCCTTTTATATTTGTTTGTCGTATTCAGAGTTGTTAGTGCATGTAGTTGAAGCGAGAACAGAACGTGAATGACTGATGCTGATGGTGATTATGATACTATGGTGACACACTCATGATAATGATCGCAGTCTTGATAGATTACCATTATCTGCTCCACTATAGATGCTCGCATTGTTATCGGTCTGCTAATCGTCTGTTCGTGGATTTTCATCTCTGTTATGATTTTATTCGTGTTTTTGTTTGTT